GGGGGTTGCAATTAAATTTGAAGGAAAATATTTGCTTAATAAGCATGGTATCCATTTGGTTGTAATTGCGACTAAATCATGGTCACTGATGTGAAATAGTCTGGATTTATCTTGTCTTCTGTGTGCTGTATGCCAATCACTCTTTACTGATTGCAGAGATAGTCCATCAATCAGTCTTTACTGATTGATGGACAATGTATTATTACATCAGCTATCTTGATGTGGTTAAATACATTTAAGCAAGGTTAACGGCGAATGTACTATGCAGGCCACATCCACTGATGGGAGTCTGTGACGTCATATCGATTAAAGGGGGTTGTTTCGCGCCTTGTGATCAGTGCTTCGGTCTGGGTATTCATACTGCCATTGTATGCTTTGCCTAGCTGCAGCAAGTTTAGCGCTTAGATACCTTTCCCCCTACCCACCCCACCCACCCATGTTTATTCTAGAGGATTTTATCTGGTAGTAGGTCATTTTATTTTATATAATTTTTAATCTCACTAAAAATAGGATGTATAGACCACTATACATTATATTTTGTTTCCACTGACTTGTCAGTGTGACTGGTGCCAGAGGTATGCCTTGGCAGAATGTCCAGAATTGTCATGGCTATCTCCTTTTGCTGCTAATATTACTGATTGTTACTCTCATTGCTATGCAGCTGCTATGGCAATACTTTGTGCCATCAAATCTAGTTACAGCCTTGGACCACAAACGGCGCCCAGATCAAATGGAAACCTGATTTTAGAGTTATATATGAAAATACCCCTCTTAAATTTATAATTTTCTGCTAATATATATTTTTGGTCGACGTTAATATCTTGTCTGCTCCATATTCTTATTTAATTAATAATTAACATTATAACGCCTGGGTATCCCCATTTGTAGAGTAAAAATGAAAATGGGGGGGGTCAAAGAAAAATATTCTCATATGTAGAGGGGGGGTCATCATTAAATTTCTGCTCTTTTAAGGGGGGGGGGCTTTCAATTTTAAAAATTTTGGAAAGAAAAAATTCCCCTCCCCCCCTTCCATAAATAATGACCGGTCCCTAATATGGTATTTCACTTTTCCACGACACTGTTGAAGTCATTTTGTCTTGCAGGCAAATACCATGGTGAGAAACTGTTCGTAGCTAACTGTTATCCAGCCATTCAAGTTGTAATCATGTTGTTTGAAAGCATTTGTCAAAGTCTAAAAAGTTAGAGAAATTAATACGAGTATTATTGTGATATAATATGTTGGGACGGGGGCGGATGGGTGGTGAGTAAACCTAGTATTAAAAGCTTTATTGGCGGAGGGCATCGCCTCAATTCTTGCAAGAGGGCTCACTGTTGCATTTTTCGCAGCTGCTCCTGTTTAAGTGTAAAAACGTATGTTTAGTATATTTAGATTCTTGTTATTGTATGGAAATTGACATTTCTCCTGGGACATGTTGATTGGAAAAGTTCCTGTGAGTAGAAGGCGACCAGATTAAGGTTTGTGTATGAAGGCCCATTTCGAACCCTAAAAATATTTCATAGTTGATTTCCCATAACTTTTCCCTAACTAAATGTTTAATTAATAACTAAATTAAATACCACGTAATTGCACTAGTTACTATGAGGAGTGTTATTCGCGCGCAATGCTGACACCAACTAGGGGGGAGGCGAAGGCGAGACTGAAATTTTCAGCGCGAAATCTTACATTTTACTATATGCGTAAAGAAACCTAAGCAAGTTTGAACATTGGAATAATAATATCGGTATAATAAACAACTGCAATAAGTTCTTCAAGTGGCCGGGGCGCTCAGTCGAGCTAGTCGCATAGAAGGGCCTCGCGCATGTCGCATTACGCATGTTGGCCGCCATTTTCCTAGCCAGTCAATGACATTTTCTGGCCAATAAACACGCTGTACTGGCTATCTGCTCCGCCTTCTGGCCAGTAAACTGCATATTTTTGCATAAAAAAACGAGGACACGTTGCACCGCTGAGTGGCCCTTCTGTTACTGACCTTTATTCTGTGGTCGCAGTGTGAAATGTATATTATAACCCATTTTTGCAAAACAGCCCTTCTTGTCTTAAAAATAAATCACTATTTTTAAGACAAGCATTTTACAGTGCTGATGTTGCACGTTGATTAAAAAACGTTACATGGAAATTGTAAGTTTGTCTGGTGTGCCGCTAAGAACACTACCAAGTTTGCTTTACAACGAAGTACGAAAACGTAGTTGACAGGTTTTGACCGTTTGCGCATTATTTTAATATATAAAAATATGCGCAGACGTTAAAATGACGTTAAATATGCAAAATAATGCGCAGTGCGAAATCTTGCATTTTACAATATGTGTAAAGAAACCTAAGTTGTTTTGAGCATTGGTATAATAATATCAGTATAATAAACAACTGAAGACAGTTCTTCAAGAGGAACACTGTTAGAATGGCAGAGGCGCTCAGGTTTGTCGCAGTGTGGATTGAATATAATTGAGTAACTCATTTTTGCAAAACGGCTCTTCCTTTCTCCCTTTTACTGATTTGCACAATAAGAAGGCCCATTTCGGCCAAAAAAATTATTTCGCTTACTTGGATGCTATCGGATGGATTTTACGTTGTTATCGCACGTCGACGACCTCAAGTCAACACTAAATACTACGTACATTGCGCTAATTATTATGGGACGTGTTATGCGCACGCATTGACTGAAACGCAAAAACTTTATTTTTTATTGTTTTCACTTTTTTTCTTCCCACAAAATGTGATGTAGCTATTATTTTAAAATTTCAGTGAAAGGCGCGCTGTGCAGTTGGGTTATCTTATTGTTTACAGTAATTTAATTGAACTTATTGTCAATATAATTAGCCATTTCCTAATCGAGCAGAGGACTGGGTCTAGTCGCTTATTTGGAGGGACAAAAAATAAACAATACGCCGAATATGGCATCTAGGAAGTTTTCCCACATTCCTAAAGTTATTTGTGCAGCCCGAAACGCAACAATTATATAAGACATCTTTTATTATATATTTAGCTCGCTCACTATAACATGTTAATTGTGCATCCAAACATCAACTAGGCCCAGTCCTCTGCTCGATTGGGAAATTAATTAGCCATAATTACTCAAACCTGCAGATGTAACTCTAAAAAGTTACAAAAAAAATGATAGTAACCGCTTTTTTACTGGTTCCAGTTTATGTAGAGTATTTAATACTCGACATGAAATACAGTCGAACCCCTATAAGCGGACACCTCTCTTAAGCGGACACCTCTTTTAAGCGGACACATATCTCGGGTCCCATTCGTTTTCTTTAATAAAATACTATTATCATAACCCCTATTAAGCGGACACCCCTCTTTAACGGACGCGGACACCTTACTTCGCACAATTTCGAAGTTTGGAAGAACTTTACAACGTCATTTTTATGTAAATGACATTATAATGGGCTATAGTCTGTGTGAGCCTCGAAAGCAAACTTGTATTGATTCCTTTTTTATATGACTGTGAGCTAGGGACGTATACATTTTCCAATGACCTTTTTTTATGCACAAACACATTTTCATTTTATCTAATTATTTGCTAGATATTTTTTACTGTTTTGATACTCAAATTACACACCTTTGCCTCCTGCTGCGTTTTTCTACATACCCCTTTTAAGCGGACACCCCTTTTAAACGGACACTTAGGCGAGGTCCCGAAGGTGTCCGCTTAATTGGGGTTCGACTGTAGTTAATTATTTTCATTACAGCAACTTTTATAACAATTTTTTCTATTCTAAATTAGTTTTGGTCACTCGTCATTCGTGGTAATCTCTAAGATATTTTAATACTTATACATTAATTTAGGAAAATGACGAGTTCCAAAAAATAAGATCCAAGATTCCTAAAATCTTGATACACATTAAGACAGCCTAGTCCCAGTCGTTCTGAAGCAAGCGCGAGAAAAAACGTGGATGCAGTACGAGACTGGGACCTAGGTGTGACGTCATCGCTAAAGGTGCTTCAGAACGCCTAGCAGATTTCAGTATTTTTAATGTGGCGGAAAATTATATACAGCTATTTCAATTAAGGTTGTCCACGAGCAAAGCGGAAAAGTCGAATACGAGCGCGAAAGGCTGCTGGGAATCGTTAACAAATTAATGAATTTTCAAAGCGATTCCCAGCAGCCTTTCGCGCTCGTATTCGTCGTTTCCGCTTTGCTCGTGGACAACATTAATTGAAATAGCTGTATACAAATAACCTTGACTGTATTGAAAATGTGCTCAATTAAAAAAATTTATATACAAATTTACGATACTGAGTCTGAGCAATGGTCGTATAATCGTTGATGTTATTTATCTACTCGCAAGTTGTGATCAACACTAGACCATACTGGTATACACAACTACGCTTTCTACTTGACAGTTTTAAGTAGCTGAGGAGATTGGAAATATTAGCCTGACATGACTGTGTTGTCAAAACATTTTTAGTCGGAGACTCGGCATAATTTTCAAGTTTCTAGATAGCATTTACTATGGCTTTATATTTTAGTAAACACGAGTCAGATTTAGTAGCCTTAGGCCCGGTTCATACGTCGTACTTCACATGTGCCGAATACATTAAAGACAATAGGTAATGAGTTGAAATGACTCATTATCTATTGTTTTTAATGTATTCGGTATACATGTGAAGTACGGCGTATGAAACGGGCCTTAGAAACGTAGCCTATTTCATTGTTCCGACAGCATTAGAGCAAAACTAATGACTTAATTATAAACGCAAAGGAAATTTCCATACCATTTTCTATTTACGGTATGCTTGGTAACCAGGCCAGGGACCATTTTAGCGAAATCTGCTAGGCTCTCTCGCTGAAGCGTTCCGCACAGTACACCCAGGCATAAAACTTTTAAGATTTATTTAAATATATCAAAGCAGCGAATAGAGAGAAAGCCTGGGACTAGGCTGATATTAAGGCAATTTTCCATTGCAGTCGCTTTGCCCGCGCGGGCAGACCGGGCTTTGAAAATCCGCTCACGCGGGCGTGACGAGTGTCGAAAACAACAAACGCTTCGCCCGCGCGGGCTGAGCGAACGTTAATGGCAACGGCCTTTATAGTATAGTATAGTAATTCTTCAAATTTTACGGTATTTGTTTTTACTTTTTAATATGGTATTTCAGTTTTCCACGACACTGTTGAAGTCATTTTGTCTTGCAGGCAAATACCATGGTGAGAAACTGTTCGTAGCTAACTGTTATCCAGCCATTCAAGTTGTAATCATGTTGTTTGAAAGCATTTGTCAAAGTCTAAAAAGTTGGAGAAATGAGTACGAGTATTATTGTGATATAATATGTTGGGGGGG